AACCCCATCAGCATCAGCTTCTCAATAATTCAGGAGTACAATTGCACCGCCAATCAGCCACCCCCAAAAATCATGAGGAGACGAAAGAAAGCAACTTGGTCTCCATAAATAACAATCTGGAGATTGAAAGAGAGAGATCATCATCGATATCGCAAGTGCCGATTAGTGACCCTTGGAGTAATGATGAATTGCTTGCACTGCTCAGGATCAGATCTACCATGGATAATTGGTTCCCTGAGTTCACTTGGGAACATGTCTCAAGGTACATATACATATATAATTATCTATATATCTACTAGTATAATTAATTCATCCAAATGCTTCTCTTTTGATGAACTATAGGGTTATCTTTGTACGGTTATACCTATGAGATTTGATTTTAAAAAAGGTAGGCTTGATGCTTTATCAATGCTAATGGAATTTTAGTCACTGTTTACTCATATGAGAGAGAGAGAGAGTGGGAAAGGACCATCTTGGACATATTCACTAAAAAACATAAAGATCCCCCCGTACACAATATATTTTTTAATTAATTATTTAGGAGCTGGCTAGCTTTTGGAGTACTATAGTCTATAGAGTGACTAAATGCTATTACTTGCTCATTGCTTCTGCTGGTTTTATGCATATTTATGGTGTGAGCAGGAAGCTAGCAGAGCTTGGCTTCAAAAGGAGTGCCGAGAAGTGCAAAGAGAAATTTGAAGAAGAAAGCAGATACTTCAACAACATTAACTTCACCAAAAACTACAGGTTTCTCAGCGACCTTGAGGAGCTCTGTCATGGTGGCGATGATCAAAACCCTGATCAGGCAGCTGCTGGGGCTGAAAACAAGAACCAACAAAAGGTGGAAAAGCCAAGCAATAATGAAGGAGATGAAGATAACAGGTGCCAGATTTTGGATGAAGACTCAACAAGAAATGAAACGGTTGTTGGCAGCAAGGAATTTGATGACCAGGACAAAGAGAAAGAGGTCGTGGAAAGAACAAAGTGCAATGTTGTTAGGAAGAGAAAACGACAGAGAAGATTTGAGATGTTAAAGGGTTTCTGTGAGGACATCGTGAACAGGATGATGGCTCAGCAAGAAGAGATGCACAGCAAGCTTCTTGAAGACATGGTGAAGAGAAGTGAAGAAAAGCTTGCAAGGGAAGAAGCTTGGAAGAAGCAAGAGATGGACAGGATGAACAAGGAGCTTGAAATTATGGCACATGAACAAGCTATTTCTGGTGACAGACAAGCTACAATTATCAAGTTCTTGAAGAAATTCGTATCATCAAGTTCTAGTTCTACTTCTTCAGAACCAAGTTCTGATCATGATCATCACACTAATTCATCTTCCTTGATTAATCAAGCACAAAACCCTAATCATCCCACGTGTCGTCAGGAGAAAGAACCAGCATCATCTACAATAATTCAAAAGTCTGGTACTTCTTCCCACACTCCAAATAACCCAAGCACACCTACTTCATTAACTGAAACCCTTGCACCCCAAAGCCCTAGTTCAAGTACTCTTGCTCCAACTCCAACCATTCCAAAAGTCCCCATACCTCCAGAAAACCCTAGCTCCGATCATCTCAATACCCAAAACCCTACTTCCAATGACGATAAACAAGACCTCGGGAAGAGGTGGCCAAGAGATGAAGTGCTGGCTCTGATAAACTTGAGGTGCAGTCTCTTCAACAATGGCAGTGCTGATCAAGACAAGGATGGAGTTGTGAAAGCTCCTCTCTGGGAGAGGATCTCACAAGGGATGTTGGAGAAGGGTTATAAGAGAAGTGCAAAGAGGTGCAAAGAGAAATGGGAGAACATTAATAAGTACTTTAGAAAAACAAAGGATGTTAACAAGAAGAGGTCTCTTGACTCTAGGACTTGCCCGTATTTTCATCAATTAAGCACTTTGTACAATCAAGGCATACTTGTACCACCTTCTGATCATATTCAAGGGCCAGATCATCAAACCCGCTCGGCTTCGCCGGAAAAGAAGTCTCTAGCTTCTCCGGTCGTACCACAAACTGGCCTTGATTCTTCTGATCAAGGTAGGTCTAGTGCCGATGATGATTTATCTAAGCATAATATTATTGCTGAAGGTGAGAAAAACAATATGGTACAGCCAGTACCAGCAGCAGCTTTCGATTTTGAATTCTAATTAATTTGCATATTTGTGTGTGCATTCTCAATAATAAACTAATATTAATAATATGTGATACCTTTTTCCTTCTTGTCGTGGTGAACATGTGGTAGCTAGTACTCAGTCGACATGAATTTTATTTATTTCCAATGTTTTTATTTTATGGCGGATATATGTATGTTTAAACTTGTTTTTTAGTGAGCACCGACAGATAGGTTCAAATCAGGACCATATTTTAAATGAGCTCTGCTGTCATTTTGTATTTGCCATATTTGCTCTCAATTTGCTGTATTCAGCAGGATAAGTATCTTGGGTTGCTAGTCGCTAACTCCAATTTTCTCATTTTATATATTTTAAACAATTTCTACAAAATGAAGAGCAGTAATTTTTACTATGAATTTTTTTATTTTATTCCAAAGAAAATTTACTTTGGGCTAAGAAAGAACTGTGATTAAAAAACATAAACAATCATGTGTTTTTAATCCCTATAAGAAGTTGTTACAACGAGTAATTAAGGGGAAAGCAAAAAATATAAATCCGTAGATCCCCTATATATATTATTTGTTTTATATTAGCTAAGGTGTTATTGTTTTGGACATGGTTTATATTGCATTGTTTATATATACAATTTTCTTTTCATTTGGTATCCTAAAACACGTGTATAGTGGGTTTAGATCTCGATTTCTTTATGTAACTAGAATCTAAATCTCATTTTGATCATATAAAGTATGGAGTTAGAAGAATTTAACAGTTTGTAACGGTGTGATGATTATTCCGAAGAACTCACTATTTAACGCCTAGTATTTAACAAACATATGTTTATCTCGGAACTCAAATTACATGGTGTTCTATGTGTATAATATAGTACAAAAATAATTTTTACTTTTTTGAGTTTTATTATTATTATTATTATTTTGAAGAAAGAGTCATTATACGAGTGCATGGCATAATATGTAAATTAGTAATGAAAAGAAAGAGTCATTATTTTCTTATTTTGGGTTGGTCATGGGGTTTTGTTTTTGAACTACGGAAGTATGCAAATTGACAACACAAGTGCATGTCTGCATGAAATAATGTTTTCTGATACCCACCGAATGCTCCAGAGCTAGTTGCAGCGGGTCAGTGAGCAAAAGCCTTAGAGGAGGATACGTTGTCGTTTCCTTGTCCTGTTATTGATAAAAAGTCTCTCTAGGAATCGGAGCGGGCCCCAGAGAGACATTGGACATGATGGGCAAACAAATCATCCACTGCCACATATCAACATCACTTGTGATGGGTTTGTCCACACTCTATCACAGCCTCTTACCCTCGAGAAAAAACTTTATATCACAGAGAGTACCGTTTTAATATCCCTAACTAATCATATGTCGTCACAAATGATAACCATTTAATATGATAATTACTTGAAAATAGCAAAATAGTGTTAATCCCGTGACATGCAACCTCACTCTTCTGCCCTCTCATATAGCTCAACAATACTAAGGAACAGTAAACCAGCTGACATGGGCCACTCATCCAACGCCTCAGAATTTAAGATGTTGTTGAGTTGAAAATAAGTCAAAAGTCAACATAATCACATCGCTGTTTGACTTTTACTTTATTACACTGGGTAACTAGAAGAAACATATTGAAAGAGGTTTGACCCATAAATGTTGCCTCGCAGAGAATGTTACTATTGTGGGGCACTATGCAATACGCAAATTTTTTGGTCGTTTTTATGGGACATTGCACTGGGTTGTCAGAATTTAGAAAATAATAAAAAACTGCTTTGTATTTGTTGGTTGTCAAATCCATGGCTTATGGATTGAGCGCTAAGCCCAAGGTGAGATTAATCAAATTATTGATCTAGCATTACCCTTTTATGGGACATTGCACTGGGTTGTCAGAATTTAGAAAATAATAAAAAACTGCTTTGTATTTGTTGGTTGTCAAATCCATGGCTTATGGATTGAGCGCTAAGCCCAAGGTGAGATTAATCAAATTATTGAGGTCCAAAATGAGCTCATTAAAACATTTGGGCCCAAAATGAGATTGTTAAGACATTTGGGCCTTTATAAGGAACGATTTAATCGGTCGTGGTGAGTCCCCATTCTCTCTTGATCGAAGTCAGAGGTTGGTCTTGCTTGCCACCTAACCGAGCAACGGTCTTTGAAAATAAGAAATTGAAGAGCTGAGTTTGGTGGGGCGTTTTCCTATGAAACAACTCCCCACCATAAAAGGAATACAGCACAATCATTCTTAAAAATAAGAAATTGAAGAGCTCAGTTTGGTACGCCATCACAGCAAGATTTTGAAACAAGTCCCCACCAGAAAACCAATACAGCACAATCGGTAAGGACACTTCCATTAAAGAGTGAATCTTTTGAAGTGGATACAACGCCATCTGTCTAATAACATCAAATAACAAGGAGAAAATAAGTCCCATTAAGTATGAGGGAATCACCAGCCCCAGTCAACCTTCTTATGAACATATTTTCTTATTGCATAATTCCACTGCTTGCAGTACAATAATGTCCCTTGTTCTTCAAGTTCATTCTGTTTCCCTGTTTCGGGCAGATTTGAATTATTTTATTTGTGAAATCTGGTTTTGTATTTTGTGTAGATTTGATTTGAGGTTAAAAGGCATTACAAGGCTGCATAGAATATATATATATATATATATATCTGGTTGTGGAGTGAAGACGGAACTAGCTATAATAGAATTCTTACTTTGGTTTGTAAAACAATGCATTTCGTCTAGAGTAATGCATAGCACATGACTGTCCGCATGAGTAATGCAAACATTGGTGAGGATCCAATGCCCCAAACGGCCTATTTTCATCTGATATTTGTCAAACAAAGTTGCCGGATCTCGGACTCAGATAGCTGGACCTGCTTTCCGGGTCGGCCTCGGACTTCCAGAAAGACGATTGATTATGTCGTCCAGAACTGATTGGTCCATTTCCTAGGTGCGGTCAATGACTGAAAAGTCAACGGCTCTATTGAAAATAATTGAAAGACTGAAACATGAAGAGAGAAGAAGCAGAAGAGTGAACAATATAAGATTCTTGTTTTTTGTTTTTCTTTCTTCATTTTCTGCTACAAGATGAAAGTGTTCTTTTCAGTGTTGGGTGGGAATTTAGTACAAACTTTGCTGTGAAGGAAATACCTTCCTTGAGTTGAGACTTGAGAGTTAATAGATATATTAACTTGGTTTTTGTTGACATTTGATTCAAACATAAAAAGGCTATATATATATATATATATATATATACTGTCCTTGTTCAGATTTACTTGCCAAATACATCAAAACCAGATTTTTTTTTTAAAAGTGTCTAGTATATGTAATTATGATCGCAATCCCTTTGATGAATGGAAAAACCTCAAATCCTACTACAAATGTAATGTGTCCCCCCTTCTAAATACTAGATAGGTAGGTTCCTATAAAAATGACCCCAAAAAAAACACAGGCAGAACAGATAGGTTCCTATAAAAAGAAAAGAATACTATAAAAAAGAGGTATACTTACAACAAAAACAACTCGTACGAGTGTTTTTCCCACTTTGTCTTTAGTCTGCTGTCGCCTAAAAACATTAGTTTACACATTGCTCCATTCTGAATTAATTTACACTTGGTTGGTACTTGGTGCCTTGGTGGTAGTATTCATTAATATAGGAAGCGGGATCTAGCGGGCTTGGCCCTGGCAAGTTGCAACTCCTCCTCGTCTCACCTATTTATATCCTTTTTTTACTTGGTAATAAAGCTTTTTTCTTTCTCTGCCCATTTTCTTTTGGTTCAAAATTTCAAATAGCATTACCCAGTAATTCACTTTATAAAATCAGGACAAAACCTCAACATTAGTCGGTGCAATTAACACTTTAAGCATCCTCTACGATAATAATATAACAACAATAACTCTAAATAAATCTTCACTTGAAAGCATCAAGATCCTAGATAACTCCAAAATCCTCGAGATTCTTCACAAATGCAAATCCTCAAGATTCTTCCTCACTTGGAAATTTATAAACTTTGAAATCCTATTCACACGGGACACAGGATCCACCTTATGAACCATGCAATCTACCACGATCCTCCTGATTAGCTTTAATACCAACGGTGAACCCATAACGGCAATGTTGTCTTCCTAATATTTACAGGCAAATTAAATTCATAATTCTAGAGGTGGGATGGGAAGAGCAAACTAGAAAAATAGACGAAGAATAAAATACAATTGAACCATCAAAGTCACAACAAGGAACTGTAACACTTACACGAAAAAACACATCGCAGGCCGTCATTTCTCCAAGTATCTACATCACAATTATATTTATTTTCAAAGTTTAGACAAACGACAAACAGAAAGAATTAAACACGCACCTACGTACCTAATCAAGTCACAGATTAGTAAAGCATGATTTATAATAATACTTTTATGCACCTACATTTAAGGGACGCGTGAGGAGTTTCACCCGCTCCGCACATTGATCCTGCACACAATCAAAAAATAAAAAGAGGCTGAAAACTGAGCTTATATTTCCAACATCACAATCACAGATAGGTGTGAGCCATTGGGTGTTCTAGTCTGGTCATCATCATCATCTTCACATTACTTCTTGCTTCATCAAAGACAAGCTCTAACCGCCATGTTAGAGTACAATACAGATGAAATGAATCAGATTTGTTTTAAGAAAACTTGACAAACAGATGTAACCGAAAAAGAAAAGAAAAGAAAATGGGGAAAGCAATATAAGCAATACCCACCCGCGTGATACCAGATTTAGAGCGAAGGCCACCACCTAATAGCCCAATCTTGATGATGTCCCATTGTATATCACTCAGTACTCTAATTGCCTGAAATCAAAACGATGGTGCAACCAATATAAATAGCATGTTATTGCCTTCAAAGAGACGAAAGTCGCATTGAAACTGCAAAAATAAATACCCTACTGCCTTAGCGGCAGCTTACTTCATTCAAACCACAGTATAGCTCATAGGATGCAGATGAGAAAGAATAACAAAGGACTACCATTTGTACCTCATGTACAGGAATATGTATTGACAAGAGTTCAATACAGTTATGTAATGAAAAACCTGACCATCATTAAAAAGTACAATAAGTACTAGTGTTGATTTGAATTGACCACCGATCAATCAAGAATAGATTTCACAAATATCAATATTTCATATTTGCAAATTCAACATTTCTCAAAAACAACATTTTATCATGACATACCAAATTCAATCTGCATGAAATATCACACTCTTCTAAAGCAGATTTCACCATCGGCCAAGCTTCTTGCAAATATGTTCCTGCACGAAAAGATGAAACGACTCATAGGTAAGAAAGAATTCGTTCTTTTAAATAACTACACCATTCACTATTAAGGTGGTACCCTCAGGCTAAGCACTTAATTTCATACTAGTTGCTTTCACCCATCACCCCATCTGAGTGGGCTAATCACACCAACAAACAAGTACAGTTATGTCAGATATCAGTGACAAAAACCCATTTCAGAGAAGAAGAGTTTATCATGAGCATAAGTTCCAGCCCACAATCCCACCCCAGGGACCAAACCATCCCCCATCCCAGCCCTTAGACCACTCTCCTCATCCCAGCCCTTCCCTCCTCCATTCAACACTCAAGACAAAATCTCTGCCCCTCTTTTCTTTTGTATTTCTTCCATTTTTTTTATTTATAAATCTTGATTCTTCTATCTTTCTTCCAAACCAACACTACCCAAAGGTCTTCTATCTTACTTGCATTACCCACACGAGACGTTTATTTAGATTCTCCCTTGTAAACAAAAAACAAGGGAGATTATCTTCCAAAGCCTGATTTCACACAAAATCTCATAATCATAACTCAAAAATTCAACAATTTCCTTATCTTTTTCCCCAAGTGACCTAGCAGACTTAACAAAAAAAGTCGAAATAAAGCAAGAGAGGAGGGGTGTACCATAGCATGCAGGGAAGTAGCTAGAAAATGTGATCCCTTCAGGCTTTCCATCTTCGTTCAGAGGAGGCTCAAACATCCTCTTATGGACCATGTCTAGTATGTCTGGATCCTGGCCCCACTGGACTAGCCGCAAATCCGTTTCTGCACGAAACAATGCAAAGGCTCATTGGTAAGAACATATTTATTCTTCTAAACAATTAAAGTATTATTAGTCATTATAAAAATAAAAAATAAAAAAATAAATCAAGAATGGTTTAAGTAATAATGGAATTTTTTATTTTCTTTTTTGAAAAAGAAAAGCCTAAAATGAAATAGTTTAATTTCACTTGTATGGAGGTACCCTCATAGTAAGTCATTAATTTCATATTGTAGTCAACTCTAAAGAATTTGAAATAGTTAAGTAATTTTATTTCTAATTCAAACACGTTGTTTTCATTTCTGAGTTTGGTGGTCTTCTTCTGTTCACCTTCTCTCATCTATCTCCTATCTGGAGATAGGCTTCTAGTGAAGTCGAAGCAAAGTACTGGAGAAGTATCATCATTTAGATTCTTATTAGGATTTGATTTGAATATGAAAGCACAATGTGTTTCTGAGTTTTACAGTCTGATTGCTTAATAAGATTCTAAGTTAGGAATATTTATCAAGTGAAGTTTCTAATTTCAGACTCGACATAGACATTGAGCTTTGGCTGCATATACAAAAATAAAAACTTTCCATTATGGACCACCTATGTTTTATTTTATGGATTGCTATGAATATGATCATAATGAGATATTCTTCAATGAGCTTTACCATATTATTACTAGTAAATTAATTCTTCTGGGCCCCTCAACTCCTATTGGATTCGATTAGAGTCAAACAAATCAAACAAAGAGTGACTTCACCCAAAATCTTAGAATCATAAACTAAACCGTAAACAAGGACTAGAGAGAAAGGTATGTACCGAAGCCTTTAGGGCAGCGACTGAGGAACGAGGTGGGGTCAGGCATGACATCTTCGTACAGTGAAGGGCCAAACATCTTCTTGAATATTTGGAGGATTTCTGGATTCTCGTACCACTTCAATTTCTGCTTTGGCGTATCAGCGACGCCGTTGTTCACGTTGTCGATATCCATCATTGATATGGCTTTTACAACCCTAAGCAAACACAGAAATATGCATCATTGATATATATATATAACGAGTATGTCTGTCTGGATCCTAGTTCTCAGTGGAGGGGAAAATTAACCTCTTCTTCACCATATGAAGGACTTCTGCATCCTCGTACCACTTCACAAAAAGCTCAGCGTAACGTTCCTTGTCGGTCTTAATGATCATGTACATGTCCATGGTCGCTCGGGCTGTCGTCAGAGAGGCGAGAAGAGATGACTCAAAAGAGATTTTGGGGTGGATTTTAAATAGAGACAGGTAACAGGTTCCTATAATGGCGTGAATTCAACTAATGAGGAATTCTAGAGGAGGCGGGATTCATGTAGAACTAATTCATCAATAAATCATTTTTTACTTTAACAATTTCTTTAAAATAGGTGCATTTTAATAATTAAATTAGTTTTAATTTTGATTTATGATAATTTAATAAACAATTTAATCAATACCATTCTTATCTCGATTCTACATAGTTTAATAAACAGTTTAATTGAATTCTAAATTTTCCTCAATTCAATTTCTCTTAATTATGATTCTACATAGTTTGTAAATAATTTTAATGTTAATTGAATTTCAAATATTCCTCAATTCAATTCCATTTAATATTGAATATGGTCTAATAAACATGTCATAAAAAGAATATTGAATTAGTCAAAAACCAAAAGGAGAAAAAAAAAACTATATTCCTTTTAATCTCGATAATATGTCATAAAAAGAATATTAAATAAGTCAAAAACCAAAAGGAGAAAAAAAAACTATATGTTAAGACCAAAAAATAAGCATACCTACTAAAACAACCCGTACGTGTGATTTTCCCACTTTAGTCTTGTCTGCTGTCGCCTCACTGGGTAACTAGAAGAAACATATTGAAAGAGGTTTGACCCATAAATGTTGCCTCGCAGAGAATGTTACTATTGTGGGGCACTATGCAATACGCAAATTTTTTGGTCGTTTTTATGGGACATTGCACTGGGTTGTCAGAATTTAGAAAATAATAAAAAACTGCTTTGTATTTGTTGGTTGTCAAATCCATGGCTTATGGATTGAGCGCTAAGCCCAAGGTGAGATTAATCAAATTATTGAGGTCCAAAATGAGCTCATTAAAACATTTGGGCCCAAAATGAGATTGTTAAGACATTTGGGCCTTTATAAGGAACGATTTAATCGGTCGTGGTGAGTCCCCATTCTCTCTTGATCGAAGTCAGAGGTTGGTCTTGCTTGCCACCTAACCGAGCAACGGTCTTTGAAAATAAGAAATTGAAGAGCTGAGTTTGGTGGGGCGTTTTCCTATGAAACAACTCCCCACCATAAAAGGAATACAGCACAATCATTCTTAAAAATAAGAAATTGAAGAGCTCAGTTTGGTACGCCATCACAGCAAGATTTTGAAACAAGTCCCCACCAGAAAACCAATACAGCACAATCGGTAAGGACACTTCCATTAAAGAGTGAATCTTTTGAAGTGGATACAACGCCATCTGTCTAATAACATCAAATAACAAGGAGAAAATAAGTCCCATTAAGTATGAGGGAATCACCAGCCCCAGTCAACCTTCTTATGAACATATTTTCTTATTGCATAATTCCACTGCTTGCAGTACAATAATGTCCCTTGTTCTTCAAGTTCATTCTGTTTCCCTGTTTCGGGCAGATTTGAATTATTTTATTTGTGAAATCTGGTTTTGTATTTTGTGTAGATTTGATTTGAGGTTAAAAGGCATTACAAGGCTGCATAGAATATATATATATATATATATATCTGGTTGTGGAGTGAAGACGGAACTAGCTATAATAGAATTCTTACTTTGGTTTGTAAAACAATGCATTTCGTCTAGAGTAATGCATAGCACATGACTGTCCGCATGAGTAATGCAAACATTGGTGAGGATCCAATGCCCCAAACGGCCTATTTTCATCTGATATTTGTCAAACAAAGTTGCCGGATCTCGGACTCAGATAGCTGGACCTGCTTTCCGGGTCGGCCTCGGACTTCCAGAAAGACGATTGATTATGTCGTCCAGAACTGATTGGTCCATTTCCTAGGTGCGGTCAATGACTGAAAAGTCAACGGCTCTATTGAAAATAATTGAAAGACTGAAACATGAAGAGAGAAGAAGCAGAAGAGTGAACAATATAAGATTCTTGTTTTTTGTTTTTCTTTCTTCATTTTCTGCTACAAGATGAAAGTGTTCTTTTCAGTGTTGGGTGGGAATTTAGTACAAACTTTGCTGTGAAGGAAATACCTTCCTTGAGTTGAGACTTGAGAGTTAATAGATATATTAACTTGGTTTTTGTTGACATTTGATTCAAACATAAAAAGGCTATATATATATATATATATATATACTGTCCTTGTTCAGATTTACTTGCCAAATACATCAAAACCAGATTTTTTTTTTAAAAGTGTCTAGTATATGTAATTATGATCGCAATCCCTTTGATGAATGGAAAAACCTCAAATCCTACTACAAATGTAATGTGTCCCCCCTTCTAAATACTAGATAGGTAGGTTCCTATAAAAATGACCCCAAAAAAAACACAGGCAGAACAGATAGGTTCCTATAAAAAGAAAAGAATACTATAAAAAAGAGGTATACTTACAACAAAAACAACTCGTACGAGTGTTTTTCCCACTTTGTCTTTAGTCTGCTGTCGCCTAAAAACATTAGTTTACACATTGCTCCATTCTGAATTAATTTACACTTGGTTGGTACTTGGTGCCTTGGTGGTAGTATTCATTAATATAGGAAGCGGGATCTAGCGGGCTTGGCCCTGGCAAGTTGCAACTCCTCCTCGTCTCACCTATTTATATCCTTTTTTTACTTGGTAATAAAGCTTTTTTCTTTCTCTGCCCATTTTCTTTTGGTTCAAAATTTCAAATAGCATTACCCAGTAATTCACTTTATAAAATCAGGACAAAACCTCAACATTAGTCGGTGCAATTAACACTTTAAGCATCCTCTACGATAATAATATAACAACAATAACTCTAAATAAATCTTCACTTGAAAGCATCAAGATCCTAGATAACTCCAAAATCCTCGAGATTCTTCACAAATGCAAATCCTCAAGATTCTTCCTCACTTGGAAATTTATAAACTTTGAAATCCTATTCACACGGGACACAGGATCCACCTTATGAACCATGCAATCTACCACGATCCTCCTGATTAGCTTTAATCCCAACGGTGAACCCATAACGGCAATGTTGTCTTTCTGATAGTTACAGACAAATTAAATTCATAATTCTGGAGGTGGGATGGGAGGAGCAGAAGAGAAAAATAGACAAAGAATAAAATACAATTGAACGATCAAAGTCACAACGAGGAACTGTAACACTTACACGAAAAAACACCTTGCAGGCCGTCAGTCCTCCAAGTATCTACATCCCAATTATATTTATTTTCAAAGTTTAGACAAACGACAAATAGAAAGAATTAAACACGCACCTACCTAATCAAGTCACATATTAGTAAAGCATGATTTATAATAATACTTTTATGCACCTACATTTAAGGGACGCGTGAGGAGTTTCACCCGCTCCGCACATTGATCCTGCACACAATCAAAAAATAAAAAGAGGCTGAAAACTGAGCTTATATTTCCAACATCACAATCACAGATAGGTGTGAGCCATTGGGTGTTCTAGTCTGGTCATCATCATCATCTTCACATTACTTCTTGCTTCATCAAAGACAAGCTCTAACCGCCATGTTAGAGTACAATACAGATGAAATGAATCAGATTTGTTTTAAGAAAACTTGACAAACGGCTGTAACCGAAAAAGAAAAGAAAACGGGGAAAGCAATATAAGCAATACCCACCAGCGTGATACCATATTTAGAGCGAAGCCCACCACCTAGCCCAATCTTGATGATGTCCCATTGTATATCACTCAGTACTCTAATTGCCTGAAATCAAAACGATGGTGCAACCAATATAAATAGCATGCTATTGCCTTCAAAGAGACGAGAGTCGCATTGAAACTGCAAAAATAAATGCCTTGCTGCCTTAGCAGCTTACTTCAAACCACAGTATAGCTCATAGGATGCAGATGAGAAAGAATAACAAAGGACTACCATTTGTACCTCATGTACAGGAATATGTATTGACAAGAGTTCAACAAGCTGCTTGGCCTTGACAATAATATCTGGGTCAGTAGTCCTGCTTGTTTTGATTGTTATGTAAAGAAAAACCTGACCATCATTAAAAAGTACAATAAGTTAGTGTTGATTTGAATTGACCACCGATCAATCAAGAATAGATTTCACAAATATCAATATTTCATATTTGCAAATTCAACATTTCTCAAAAACAACATTTTATCATGACATACCAAATTCAATCTGCATGAAATATCACACTCTTCTAAAGCAGATTTCACCATCGGCCAAGCTTCTTGCAAATATGTTCCTGCACGAAAAGATGAAACGACTCAGGCTAAGCACTTAATTTCATACTAGGTTGCTTTCATCCATCACCCCATGAGTGGGCTAATCACACCAACAAACCAACACTACCCAAAGGTCTTCTATCTTACTTGCATTACCCACACGAGACGTTTATTTAGATTCTCCCTTGTAAACAAAAAACAAGGGAGATTATCTTCCAAAGCCTGATTTCACACAAAATCTCATAATCATAACTCAAAAATTCAACAATTTCCTTATCTTTTTCCCCAAGTGACCTAGCAGACTTAACAAAAAAAGTCGAAATAAAGCAAGAGAGGAGGGGTGTACCATAGCATGCAGGGAAGTAGCTAGAAAATGTGATCCCTTCAGGCTTTCCATCTTCGTTCAGAGGAGGCTCAAACATCCTCTTATGGACCATGTCGAGTATGTCTGGATCCTGGCCCCACTGGACTAGCCGCAAATCCGTTTCTGCACGAAACAATGCAAAGGCTCATTGGTAAGAACATATTTATTCTTCTAAACAATTAAAGTATTATTAGTCATTATAAAAAAATTAAAAAAAATTAAAAAATAAATCAAGAACGGTTTAAGTAATAATGGAATTTTTTCTTTCCTTTTTGAAAAAGAAAAGCCTAAAATGAAATAGTTTAATTTCACTTGTATGGAGGTACCCTCATAGTAAGTCATTAATTTCGAGTATGTCTGGATCCTGGCCCCACCGGACTAGCCGCAAATCCGTTTCTGCACGAAACAATGCAAAGGCTCATTGGTAAGAACATATTTATTCTTCTAAACAATTAAAGTATTATTAGTCATTATAAAAAAATAAATCAAGAATGGTTTAAGTAATAATGGAATTTTTTATTTTCTTTTATGGTCTTTCTCTATCAATCTAATTGTTGCACATCAAGTTAAAACAAAAAACCATGTACGTAGGATTTAGATTCTTATTAGGATTTGAATAGGAAAGCACAATGTGTTTCTGAGTTTTACAGTCTGATTGTTTAATAAGATTCTAAGTTATGAATATTTATCAAGTGAAGTTTCTAATTTCATACTCTACATTGACATTGAGGGGAATCAGTGTGAATGTGAAAGTACATCCGTGAACTAAATGATTCAGTCACATTTCAAACTTTGGCTGCATATACAGAAATAAAAACTTTCCATTATGTTTTATGGATTGCTATGAATATGATCATAATGGGATATTCATATTAAGCGAGGTTGGCCTTCGGAATGAGCTTTACCATATTATTACTAGTATATTAATTCTCCTGGGCCCATCAACTCCTATTCGATTGGATTGGATTGGAGTCAAACATCTTCTTGAATATTTGGAGGATTAGAGAGAAAGGTATGTACCGAAGCCTTTAGGGCAGCGACTGAGGAACGAAGTGGGGTCAGGCATGACATCTTCGTACAGTGAAGGGCCAAACATCTTCTTGAATATTTGGAGGATTAGAGAGAAAGGTATGTACCGAAGCCTTTAGGGCAGCGACTGAGGAACGAAGTGGGGTCAGGCATGACATCTTCGTACAGTGAAGGGCCAAACATCTTCTTGAATATTTGGAGGCTTTTTGGATTCTCGAACCACTTCAATTTCTGCTATGGCGTATCAGCGACGCCGTTGTTCACGTTGTCGATATCCATCATTGATACGGCTTTTACAACCCTAAGCAAACACAGAAATATGCATCATTGATATATATATATATAACGAGTATGTCTGTCTGGATCCTAGTTCTCAGTGGAGGGGGAAATTAACCTCTTCTTCACCATCTGAAGGACTTCTGCATCCTTGTACCACTTCACAAAAAGCTCAGCGTAACCTTCCTTGTCGGTCTCAATGATCATGTCCATGGTCGCTCGGGCTGTCGTCAGAGAGGCGAGAAGAGATGACTCAAAAGAGATTTTGGGGTGGATTTTAAATAGAGACAGGTAACAGGTTCCTATAATGGCGTGAATTCAACTAATGAGGAATTCTAGAGGAGGCGGGATTCATGTAGAACTAATTCATCAATAAATCATTTTTTAATTTAATAATTTCTTTAAATAGGTGCATTTCAATTTCAGGATAATTTAATCAATACCATTCTTATCTCGATTCTACCTAGTTTAATAAATAGTACTTAATTGAATTCTAAATTTTCCTCAATTCAATTTCTCTTAATTATGATTCTACATAGTTTGTAAATAATTTTAATGTTAATTGAATTTCAAATATTCCTCAATTCAATTCCATTTAATATTGAATATGGTCTAATAAACATGTCATAAAAAGAATATTGAATTAGTCAAAAACCAAAAGGAGAAAAAAAAAACTATATTCCTTTTAATCTCGATAATATGTCATAAAAAGAATATTAAATAAGTCAAAAACCAAAAGGAGAAAAAAAAACTATATGTTAAGACCAAAAAATAAGCATACCTACTAAAACAACCCGTACGTGTGATTTTCCCACTTTAGTCTTGTCTGCTGTCGCCTAAAACATGAAAAAAGAAGGCTTTCCTACTAATTAATTCTCGGATGTTGATGTGTAACCCTTGAGCTGAAAACCTTGGAGCCAAAGTCACAAAGTTTTGAATTTCAATGGCTAAGATTCAATCTTGATGTAAATCCGTTAGAGATTCTCTCTCTCTCCATTTTTCAATTCAGAGCAATGTTCTCTTCTTCATTCTCTCTCTGTGATTTGTTCCTTCCTCCCAAACATCCAAAATATTCAGAAAACTAATTACTAGAAGCCTTGTATTCTAACATCGGAAACATTTAGCAGCGAGGGAATCAAACTGCCTGTCCCTTCTGAAGAATCAAAGAAGCAGAGATGAGAAGAGGGCATTCTTCTGGGAATTACAGAAGCCCATGTTTGACTATGCACCAGCCATGGGCTTCTTTGCTGATTTATGGTATCAAGGCCGGACATGGGCCGCTCCTATTAGAGGTTTGAACCTTAAAGTTAAAACCTCTGAATTCAGTTCAAACTTTCAATACCCGTTTGGTTTTAGTCTAATCTTCTTTGCCGTGGAAGTATTTAAGCTTTGAACTTTTGAGAATGTGGTCTATTTGCTAGCTGGGAAAGAGTGGAAAAGGAGAGGGTGAGAATATTGAGTGTTAGAAATATTTTATATATTGGGAACTGAACAAGTAGAAAACTTTAAGCAAGCTGCGAATCTTTTAGTTTGTAAGCATCTGATTTTGAGCAAAAGATTTGATTTTTCGGTTAACTCGCTGAATTGTCCGCTGAACGTCTAAACTACTTAGTGGGATCTCAATCTTCTCTTTTTGTTCTTAAAAGGAAAAAGTTTAATGAAGGATTATCAAGCATTACTGTTGTTAAATTGGTCTTTTGCTCTTCTTCTTTTTTTTTTTTTTGGTATTCTTGTTATTATGATTATATTCATTGGCATTATAATTTTGAACTTTGAGATGAGCCTTTTTCTAAAGCCTTGAATTTGTATTTTGAAGGGCGCCTTTGGATTCATGCCGCTAGTAAGGTTCCCGATGAGGCTACAATCAAAGCAATGGAGGACTTCTATAGGGAAATTTATGCAGTGGATGGAATCACTGATCTTAAATTTCCAGAACATTATCCAGTTTCAAGACTTTCAAGTATTCAAGGTTTGGTACTTTTTGTGATGCACGTTCTCTGTGTGTGTGTGTGTGTGTGTGTCTGCACACAAATTTGGGGATGCTAAGATCAGTCAGATAGCTGGAAAGAAAGGATGAAAATACCCAAAGGCACCCTTACATGTCATGCTTATACCAACTGGATTTTGAGTCGGCTGGTTCAAGTTGTGTTGCTAAACTTATTTGCATGTGAACCAATTATTAAGCGCAGGAATATGTAGTATTTTGGAAACTTTTGCAGCTAAAGTTTGAAGTCTCGTTATTCTAAGACGTTTTTCTGAGGTTGTTTCTTTAGTTCCCTATTTTGAGAGATAGGGGATGGCAAAATACTTCCATAGTAAAACTTCTGTTCTGTATAGCTTTTATGTCAGGGTTGTTTTCAATGTTCTTTGTCGTGCTTTCCTAGGTGGGTTTCTCTTGTAGACATCTTGTGCTTTTGGTTTATGACTCCATGTTTTGTTAATAATTCCATAATTCTAATATATATAAAAATCTGAAGTTTCTTTGGATATTATGTTTTCTCTTTCTTCGTCTATATCTCTCTCTCATGCACACAAATTTTGACATTCGGTTTCAGCCAACATAAATCAGAGTGAAAATACACACCTGTGGCTGCTCGCAAAGCCAACATAAATCAGTTTGTGCTTCCAGCCTCCCCTGCATATGAACAGTCAAAGTTTAATCAACACAGTCTTGGAGCCCATGGAATCATCACCTTTCTGTATTAGAAATAAAGAGGTCATAAGTAAATGGGTAGCCCACCCCTTCAGGTACCATCTCCCAGCATGCTAGTTCCGTTTGAGATGTGTGGGTACCAAGGTGTTTATAACTTGGAACTCTCTCTCTCTCTCTCTCTCTCTCTCTCTCTCTCCCTGAGTATATTTTGGATCGTACTTATTTACCTGTCTCAGATATACGAAGCTGCTATTAGAGGTCTTACCCCTGGTTAATGGTCCCCTTCCGGTAAAATTTCCACTTCCAAATCCACAAGATCGATTTTTGTTGAAACCAGGGTCTATCTCTGCAAATGTCCCAGAAACTAGAACTTCTGAACTGGAGAGATCTTAAAGTCTCCCAGCGGCCGTAGCTGGCGAACAAGCAGCAGCTACACAGTTCTCCAAGAAAGTTCAAGATTTTGAAACAACTACCCAAACCAATACAGCTCAATGTGTAAGGTCAGTTCCATAAAAGAGTGGACTCTTTTGAAGAGGATATAACGCCATCTGCTAACTTTAGTGAGACTGCTAATAAGGCGGCATTAACATAAAATAACAAGAAGAAAATAAGTCCCTTTTAAGTATGAGGGAATCACCAGCCCCAGTCAACCTTCTTCTGGAGGTTTGAGACCTCCCTCTAAGGTATGCAGTTTCTTCTCTCGGTTTCGTAGCATACCTGAAACAAGTACATGCACACATGGATTCCATTATAAGAGTTGTGTGTGAAGTCAATTTAGTTAACTAGCCTGATCAAGTGGTTTAATATTTTATAAGGTCTTGTTTCATTTTAATTTGATCTGTATGCATGACTTTAATACAAGCTGAAATATGACAATTTGACAGATAACTTTGTGTGCTATTTTGCCACTGTACTGTATCAGGTGTGCCCTTTGATGCTCTACTGCAAGCTGATTTTGAGTCTATACTTGTATCTTAATTCCTTCTTCACCTTCCTTACGAACATATTTTCTTTTTGCATAAGTCCACTGCTTCCAGTACAAAAATGTCCTTTGTTCTAGTTCGTTCTCTTCCCCTGTTTCGGGCAGAAGAAATTCAGCTTTGAATTATTTTATTTGTGGAGTCTGGTTTTGTATTTTATTTCGCTGTATGCTCCATGGTGTTGGAATGAAGGCACATAACGGGGATGGGTCAGATCACATGACATGACATCACATGCTTAGTCATATATTTGTTTCATATTACACCCAATTAATTGGCAGAGCACATATTATCTAACACCATCATGATCAGTGTTTAAAGCTAGCTAATATCTAGGCTGCCGCTGGTGGAACACACAGCTTCACACGACGTCCTTGGCATATTAGTTGATGCCAGAAAAGTGGCTTTCCCTCCTCCATCACCTGCCCTTGATACATGAAGGAGTAGGCTGGTGGAAGAGGAAATTCATCTTTTTCATTGCCTCTGAGCCGCTCAATCTTCTCTCTCACTCGCCTAACTTCATCCGTGGCTTTTACTTGCAGACAAATGCACTTCCCATCCATAGACTCCACGGTTAGCGTGAGAGGCAGATTAGGCACCACATAGAGAAGTCACCGCTACGGATTTGGTGGGATTTCATTGTCCTAGCATTCCAAAGTCTGAACAGTCGACCCATGCTATGCTGTTCGTGGAATAGAGTAAAAAAAATCTGGGCTGGTACAGTGTAGTCCAGTGAATCTAGCGGCAGCTTACTCTTGAGCACTTCCACCTTACATAATGGTTTCACCTGTATGGGAACCGGTTCCCCACTCCGATGTTGATGCTTGCGCATCCAAAGTGTTAAACTAAGGCTGGTATCATACAGCAAAGTTGGTGAGACGCACTGAGGGACGACCTCCACAATCTCGCGATCCCGAACATTTTACTGGAAGAAGGACATGTCCTCATCCAACACGCAGCACTTATTGGTAAAGAGATAAAATGCTGGTAGATCTTCCCTTTTTTTTGAGAGGTGGGGATGGCAAAATACTTCCATAGTAAAGCAAAATACTTCCGTAGTAAAACTTCTCTTCTGTATAGCTTTTAATTTTATGATGGGCGTGAGTTGGTGCGGTTGCTCATCCCAAGGAATATCACTATCTTAGTTGACACAACAACGGACAACTTGCAACGTGGCGACAACCCCGGTCCTAGTATCACCAGTTGCACCCATCTGGTTGGAAGGGCTCACGAGAGTCACAAAATTAAAGTAGTTAGGTTACATTCCATGTACGTTTTATAACTTCCACGAGTTTTGCTCTGTATATCTTAAAGCTTCTTTATTCATTTGCTTCAATTACTCCCTCCGTTTGCTTTTATTATTTATTTATTTATTTAAATAAATGGTATCGTAATGTGCCAACCATTAGCAATTCAGAACATTTAATATATTTTCTTTAATTAATATTTGTTAAAGAAAATAAATGAAAAGAAAAGTAACCTCCCAACAGATCAACCAATCTGATGATTATGTACATCTTCAAAATTACCGGAATTTTATACAATTATTGGATTTTAATCCCTTTATTTTAAATACCGATACAGCCCTTTGACCATTCGAGTACCCCCAACCAGACTGCACAACCATGTGTTGTTAACTTGTTTGTTCTCATGAATGAACGTGGTCACAGCACGCGACCGGAGGTTGAAAGTTTGAATGGGTATTTTGGTCATTTGATAATATGATGCGCCGGATGGTAAGCCTCGTGATTGGGAGAGTTGATGGGGGATCGATTGGGCGAAGAGGGATGGTGCGGGCCCCACGATGCTTCTCTTGGTCGGGTCGGTCTTCTTGCATCCCATCAAAAAACAAATAAAAATTAATATTAAAATTTTATATGAAATTAAAGGATGATTTTCGCTTTTTTCTTTTGGCATAATATTTATATTTTCTATTAACCTCTTCCCTCTAGAACAAGTCATCTATATATATATCTGTTGGCATAAGTGGTTCACATGAAAGTTCGCTCATGATTGCCATAACTATGTCTAAAACTAAAACAATTGAGGAGGAAAGGAGAGGGGCTTAGACGTAAGGAGGCGAACACACTACCTTAATTAATTGATCTAACTCGTGTTTGTAATTAACGGTTAAGTTAATTTTTGGTATATTCTTTTAAGTTACAATCCTCCTTCCTAGTATTAAACCTGATAAATCCATATAAAATGACATGAAAATTGAATAGATAAAAATGTATTTTGAAGTTTTTAATCCATCATATAGATTTTAAGTAAATAAAAAGTCTCCAAAGCTGTGACAAAATCAGTGGGACCAAGTCCATCCTCACAGGCTCCCCACCCCTTGTTTGTCAGTGTCTCAGTGCCATGCCATGTACAGGAGCAGAGTTTACTCTCACTCACTTCTCTCCTTTTCACAAAAATCACTCCATCATTTTCCCATTTGACCCATCATCTTTCTCTCTCAAGTCTTAAATAATTTTTTATGCTTAGGATATAATAAGATGAATCTGTCTCTCTCTAGGATTTATGGGTTTATTTATTATGGTTTGTATAAATGTTAATCTCCATCTCTCTCTCTCTAAGAACTTGACAGTTTTGTCTCTTGAGAAGTTAGAGCTGAGAGTAAAAAGCGCAGAAGAAAAAACCCAAATGGGCGAATGGGGGAAAGAGCTACTGCAACTTCCTCTGCAGCTTCTTCTTCTGCTTCTGCTGCTTTGTACTCTACTTGTCCAGTAGCGGTGTCGTTTTCAGCTCATTATCCCCTGCTCCCAATGTCTCCTCTCTCACCTGCATTGTGAATGTGATCTCTCTTCGATCCAACTTACTCACTCTACATTCAGGTCTTCCCAATCTCTCTCTGTGTGAAATTTGCTGTCTTTTATTTTCTCGGCATCCGAGTTCAAATTTTTGACTTGGGTTTAGTTTTCAGGTGCATTTGCCATTTTCTGAGAAGCAACTCGCTTAATTTTAAATCCTCTTTCGCTCTGTTTTTCTCTGTTAATTTCAATTACGATATACATTTATGTGCATAGTGCAAGAAGATAACTTCTTTTGTTCTTCTAAAATACATTTTCTGCTGTCTCTCTTCAGACTCTTCCTCTAAATCTTTTTAGGTATTTGATATGTGGCTACTGAGTGTTTTAGTTGGATATTTTTGTTTTGTGCTCTCTCTTTGTACTTACTTTTCACTGTACATGTTACCTTGTTTGGTCGTGAAGAAAATGTGGGAAAGCAAGGCCAATTATACTGTACATTGCATAGTTTTTCTAGTTTTACTTACTATTGGGATCTGGAAAAACGAAGGCTTGCGCATTTGAGCCTAAAACTGACCCTTTGGCTGAGCTGATTTTAACACGAACTTCAATTTTTTACTGCTCTTTCTAAAATGTTTATGTATTTTCATATGCTTTTTTCCACATTGGATTTCAAAAATAAAGAACTGGACTTTCGTTTAAAAGGAAAACAAAATTCTGGGTTATTGACTTGACTTTTTGTATTTGGTGAAGTTAAAGGGGGTTACACGATGGTTGATCAAATTTATCGTGCATTGTGGTAATGTAGACTATTTGAGAGCTTATTTCTCTCAAGAACCGAAGGCTTCATTTAGATTTATTTTATGTGGGTTCATTGTTTTCTATTGTTTTTTATTTCTTTTCTTTCTTACTTTCAAGAGTTTATCAATTTTCTTGAGTGAAAATGTAGTATTGTTCCCTGCATTTTCTTTGTTTGTTTCTCAAGAATAAAATAAATGCTTGCCTCTGAGCTATGCAAGTCTTGAGTAACTTCACATATGATATAGCTTTCTCTTGCTGCTACTTTGCTACGTTGCTTTCAAGTTTAAAGTGCATTCCGAGAATTGAAAAGAATTGTTTGTGCTATTGTGAATGTCTATGAGATTAAAACCATTTTGTTCTTTACTTAGAAAACATAAATTTTGAGTCAATCAGATGGAGCAATATGAAGTTCTAGAGCAAATTGGGAAAGGGGCTTTCGGTTCTGCACTTCTTGTCAGGCATAAGCATGAAAAGAAGAAGTAAGACTGGAATTAACTTTTCCTTTTTTCTTCCCCTGGGGCCATCCGCTGGTCAAGTATTCCTTATGATATCATCATGCAGATTTTGAGAATGGGTCTTAATTTTGCTCTTTGATATATAAAGGTATGTGTTGAAAAAGATTCGGCTTGCTCGCCAGACTGATAGATCACGGAGATCTGCCCACCAGGAGGTAGTATCTTTATTGATGATTGTCTCATGGAACTAATGCATTACTTTTGTGTGCTGTTAATCTTCCATTATTATGGGCCTTAACTGATAATCTTCCATATACGCTATATTAAATTAATTTTCTAGAGGACTTAAAGCAAAAATGGAAAGAACACAAGTAATGGATATGCGGAAGGCTATGTATATTGGATATCTCCAGATTGACAGTTTTCCATTTTTGTGTAGATGGAGCTCATTTCTAAATTACGAAATCCATTTATTGTGGAGTACAAGGATTCTTGGGTGGAAAAGGTACATTTTTTTGCAACTATATCTTGTGTAACTGTGTATCGATGGCAATTAAGTAAATTGTGGGCATATTTAATCTATGAATTACTTTGTCAGTGTATAATTGATTGTTTGGCAATAAGCATCTGTGTCACTGTGTAATATTGGTTCTTCCCTTGTTCTCAGGGTTGCTATGTGTGCATTATTATAGGTTATTGCGCAGGAGGAGACATGTAAGTTTTCTGTTGTGCTGAAATTCTGATTTTTTATATATATGTGGATTCATCTGCTTCTACTTGAAGCCTTGCATGTTGTTGGCCACTTATGCTACTTTTCTCTGTGGTACAGGGCAGAAGCTATAAAAAAAGCCAATGGTCTTCTTTTCCCTGAAGAGGTTCGAAGTTATTTTGATTCTTGTGTTTGTCTTTGTTTTCTCCTCCTGCAGAAAGTTTTTTCTTATATACACATTCCTTGCACAGTACTACAGTATCACTTTTATGCATTAGATAACTGTAATTTTGGCTCCTCTACATCTAAGTCAAGGCAATTAACTTTTATCAGAAGCTCTGTAAGTGGCTTGTTCAACTTCTAATGGCGCTCGACTATTTGCACTTGAATCATATTCTTCATCGTGATGTCAAGGTTAGTGACATATTTCTTCCAGTAAAGATGGTGTTGCTATCTCCTTTCAAAATGTCTGAAGCTATTTTGTACTGATAGTGTACCATGATCGTTTCAGTGTTCTAATATATTCTTGACAAAAGATCAAGATATACGTCTTGGTAAGTGATCCTATAATCTTCTATAGTTCTCCATAAGAGGGGTGTAATTTTTCTGACAACAATTGATCAACGTGGGAGCAGGTGACTTTGGACTTGCCAAAATGTTGACTTCAGATGATCTTGCCTCTTCAGTAAGTAACTATGATCCTTCTCCGAAATTCAATTATTTACAATGTCTTGAAGCTATCTGTAGTAAGAATCATTATCTCTTGATTCAGGTTGTGGGAACACCTAGCTATATGTGTCCTGAGCTTCTTGCGGATATACCTTATGGTTCAAAATCAGATATTTGGTCTTTGGGTAAGCACTTTGTATGTGGAAATTTTTTGGCCTTGATTCTTTTTCTCCTTAGCTGCAATATGTATTGTACTGAATATATTTTGTCCAGGATGCTGCATCTATGAAATGACTTCTCATAAGGCCGCATTTAAAGCATTTGTGAGTTTTTGGAACTCTTATATTACAGATATCTAGAGATACATTGCTTTGCCTATTTTGTGTGTGTTTACTCCATCTGTTTTTTGGTTTTATTTATAGACTGTTTCCTTAACTGCATATATATAGATAGATCAGTATCTTATATTATATCATGTATGCAGACTTTTCTTTCACATGATTCTTTTTTTCTTGTGTACTTATTTCCTGTTTCTTTAACAGGATATACAAGCACTGATTAACAAAATTAACAGGTCCATAGTTGCTCCCCTTCCCACAAAGTACTCTGCTGCATTGTAAGTCCTTAGCTCGTCTATGTTTGGTTTTTGGTGGCTATTTAATGTCAAGTGCATGTTTAGCTGCCTTCCTTACTGCATAGGATTATGGACATACCTTTGTGGGACATTTAGAATTGTGTAAGGATAAGTGCAAGTAACAAACATAACAGATGCTTCAGTAGCCTGGTTTTTATTACCATGTTTTTCTAGGTGGATGTGATTAAGTTGGCTTTTAATAGGTGAATATTGTTTATCTAATCATTTTCCTTATTTCTATTTTCAGCCGAGGCCTTATTAAAAGCATGCTTCGGAAAAACCCAGAACTCAGGCCAAGTGTATGTATACTTCTCCTCTAGTGTAAAAATGTATGTGAATAAACCCACCTTAAGATAGTAGTCAAACATGATAGATTTTACAAAATTAATTATGAATTCACTGTTTGTTCTCTTCCTCACCATATCCAACATATCTCATTACGATGCGCCACAAGCTGGTACAATGTTTTTGCCATATTTTTCCATGACCTGAATGGTTCATCACCTTGCTGTCTGCTCTATTTGATTGGCTATGTAGTTTTGTAATTTTAAAATTTATGAACTCATATGCATTGTATCCAAAACCTATGGAATACATATTATCAATCCAGTGTTCCCTGGAATCATTTGGCTTCATATAATCTGTATGCAAATGCAATATCCTTCAGGTAAGTTTGATTCCTTTAAATCATATTTCGTACAAATTGTGACAGTCCCCGGCTTTTACCTTCTCATCTCATTTGAAGTGTTTTTGCTTGTGGCAGGCTGCAGAGCTGCTTGGTCATCCACACCTTCAGCCTTATGTTCACAAAGTTCATCTCAAAATCAATATCCCAAGACATGGAACTTTAGCAGTAAATTGGCCTGATCCCAGTTATTTGAAGAAAACAAGATTCGCAGAGCCAGAAGATGCTCGTTTCTTCACATACCAGGATAAGCGCCATACGTTAAGCAATGATAGGACTTTGAATCCTAGCATATCTGGAGGTGAGCAAGATTCACTGTGCTCTACCCAAGAAATGCATGACAAGCCAAATTATCTGAAACAACAATTGGCAGGACTGTCTGCTGGTAGAACCTTTAGAAAAGCAGCCATATCCAAGCAGCCGATTGCTTCCAAAACTTCAAATATTGTTAAGACTCGAGCTCCAGCTAAAGCTTCTGCTACTCCCAAGAGATGGATGGAGCCAAAGAATCGCTCATCGGTAAGATATCTCTCTCTCTCTCTCCCCATGCACATGCAACTTTAGCTTGCATAGTAGCTCTATTTAATGGGTAAGTCATACTTTTGAAAAATCTTTAGTTTCTGAATTGCTATTTTTGGTAAAGTTTGAGTTTATAAATTTTGTTATTCCAGCTTCCTGTTTCATGCACTTCAAAAAAGGCAGCAAGTACAACTCGCAGAGCATCATTGCCATTACCAACAAGTGCTGCAACTCACCAATCCCCCTTCCGGCCCAATATTGGTGTCCTTCACTGTATTAAATCTCCTGATGTTTCTGTCAATTCCCCTCGAATTGACAGAATAGCTGAGTTTCCATTAGCCTCATATGAAGAACAATTATATGAAGAACAGTTTTTGCCTATCCATAGAAGAACTTCATCACACTCTGTGCAAGGCTCGTCTGGTTCCCTGCAATCTGATGACCGTTCAATCATGAAGGATAAATGTACAGTTCAGACATGTGACAGAGCGTCTCGCAAACTTAGTTTCACTGGTGCGTGGCAGGGAATTCAATCCAGCATGTTCCAAGCTGAACAAGACAATCAAAGTGATGAATGTTCTGATCAAAATGCGACTGCTGGAGCGTCAAGCCGAACATCATCAGACACACGTCGCAGGCGGTTTGACACCAAATCATTCCAGCAAAGGGCTGAAGCTTTAGAAGGGCTGCTTGAATTTAGTGCAAGGTTACTCCAGCATCAAAGATATGATGAGCTTGGGGTGTTGCTGAAGCCTTTTGGGCCTGGTAAGGTCTCCCCTAGGGAAACTGCTATTTGGCTGACTAAGAGCATCAAGGAAAATACTGTCAAGCAGGATGATTAGTTCCAATGAGCAGTTAACACGTGTAATATATTTCAGACTCCAATATTTTTTTGTAGTTTACGAGTTTCTGTAATCATTCTTCTCAAGAGGAATTAGGCACCTAGGTAGATACTGATTTTGCAGGTTATGATCTGAGAAGAGGAATGGTTATCACCTTGGATTCAACTTAGTTTGAAACTGTGATGGGTTAATAGAATATTTCTCAATATTGCGTAACATCAATCTGAGCATATAATCTCTCTCTCTCTCTGCTTGTATTTTTTCTTTTTCTGTATTCTTGGTTTGCGTTTAATACAACTGGGATCCGAAATAACCGAAAAGAAAAAAAGAAAAACAAAAGGTAAACATAAGTACTGGAAGTAACAAGTGGTAGAAATTCATGATAGGAGAAAACCTTCGCATGTTAACAGATTAAAAGAAATGGTTCCAAATTTTCAAATGATGGTTACTTGGTATAATTTTCGTCCTGAGATGGCACTGAACTCATAAACAAGTATAATTAGTTATTAGAATATTTCTTTGGAAAGTTCATTTCAGTAGTGCAATGCATGCCATAGGTGTCTGTAAGAACTCTTCAGTATCCATTTCTTTTTCCCAACTTAAAACTGATGAGCGAGGAGCTGCTAGTACAAATTCACATGGGGCTGCAATCAAGCAATTCAATAAAATTAGACAATTATGAGAAAGGCAAAAATTACGAATATCAACCTGCACAATTTAGTTCATTGAGCTATATTTTTACCTCATATGCAGCCAGAGATTTATTATAATTGGAATGACCAGTGCTTGGGCTAACGGTGGTGTGCTTGTTGTCCTCAAACAACCTTCTTGACTTGTAGAGCTTAACAAACCAGGGATCATGGTTTTTATGACCGTTGGGTTTGAACTGTGAAGACGAACGTTTCAGAACTTGATCCTCCATAGGACCATCCGTTGCATCCCATGATTCTGTATGCTTGGTTTTGTGCTTTGTGCTCCCTTCCGGCCGTTGCTTTGGTTCACTCTGTGACCTTACTTTTGCCTTCGAAGATTTCGTGTTGGTCATGTAATTTGGCTTGAATGTGTAGTCATAACACGCAGGGTCTCCATAATCCTGCTGTTGAAAAGTGAAAGGGGGTCTTGTTGGTTTTGGATTAGATGCTGCAGGATAGTTCCAGGGACTATTTGCTGTTGGAAAGGAGGGCTCCTCGTATTGATGTCTCTTTGAGGTGGAAAGACGGTCAGAATAGAATGTTGTGTGGCCATGCTCAAGCCTCCCAGTTTGTGAATGATTAAGGTGGGCGCTTGTGCTTTTCGAAACTCTTTGAACATCATTGGAATTCAAGTCCATTGTCTTCTGCATAAAGAAGGCCATATTCTAAGTCAGAATTTAAAGATTTCAATCATATGCAACCTTCTTGGTATGGGGGGCAGCCAGAGCCTGACAAGTTTAGGACCCTCACTTCATGTTTGGTTGATCAGAAAATGGTGGGAAATTTATGTTGAGTACTTGTACCAGGCTCAATTGGGTTTATGTTATATTGGAAATTTTGAATCACAGATATCAGAATAAGCATCAATTCGATTTGGAAGAGTTTGGTTTCTGTATAAATCTTCTTCCCAAGAACCAAAAGGAACAAAGCAATGCAAACCAAAATTCTAAAGTCACTTCCCATATTAAAAACTAGCACAGATAGCATGAATATGGCAGATATATTTCAGACTGAAGGAGGAGACTTACCCTATGCACCCCATGGCCTCTTTGAATGGTCAATTGCTTTTTATTAGCTTGCTGTGCTTCCTCTGCCATCTGAATTCTCTTAAACCGAGCTCTAACCTGGATTGCCATCAACGCATGCATCTGCATTATAGTGGCAGTTGTTTGTTTCCTCACGATGTGACCTCTTATGAGTGCTTGTAACTTAACAAGACCCTTCAAGGCGTGTAAAGCCTTCCTTGCCTGAAACAACATAAGCAAAATGATCATGTAAAATAAATAGATTTAGACTGCCCCATCTTGCTTAAATCTATGTTGTTAATTAAGATTAATAATTAATCTTTAATGTTTTGGATGGAAATTTGTACCAAATGAGAACGGAAGGCAGCTTGAATCCTTGTGGCAGCAGCATCCTCAACATCTCTCGGTACCACAGCCAATGTCAAGGCATGATTCTGCTGAGCCTTCAAAGGCAAAGGCAATATAGTGGTGTCAATTGAATCAACAGATTTGGAGGGCCTGTGGCATGCCTCTTTGCCTGCTAACCTTCCAAAGCTCCATCTTCGCTTCACTTTTGGTGTCCCTGGCTTGGTAGCAGTAGAAGGATGCTCAGTTGAAATCGAAACATCGGTTTGGTTAATCTTTTTTTCCTGCTTTCCTACCAGAAAGTTTATAATCCATTTGCTTGCCTTTCCCATCTTTAATTGTCACTAAAATTCCGCTCTAGACTGAAGAACTACAGAGTTGCAGCTTTTATATATAGACTGTGATGATCTTACTGCTTAATCTTGGTTGGTTGACTTTGTATGGATACTTGATATATTAAAATCTGTTACTCTATCAGCATGCATGGCTCTATCTCTCAAATACGTATCTGGTTTGGTCGTCTGATGCCATTAATTTAATGACTTTGGCCTGCATAGGTTTCTCTGATAAAGCCATTTGCCACCCTCATGAGTCATATAGATAGGCAAAGATTCCTCCTCCTTGGGTAAAAAATACATTTCAGCTGCTAGAATTTTGATTTCCTTAGGAGGCTGCACCTGGCAATCAAGGGGTAGCTGTGTTTCACCTTGGTGCACCAAATAAATCAAACTGCATCTACAAAAATCCGTATTTCCTGGTCCTGTAATTCTTCCTGTCATTGGCCGCAGTAACCAAACTGCTCAACTTTTGCTTCATTATCTCTCTCAAGACATCCACTCATATTTTTCGTTAAAACGAAATTGGAAGGAGATATTCGAACACGGGACCTCGGATGCACGAGTACCTCTTTTTACTCTTGGGTTTTATGCTCAACTGGATGTTTCAAGTCTAAAATTGAAAACCAAGCACGTATTTTATAAACTTACAAAAATCCAGTTCATTTTTGCTTCAGTAATTTCTTTAAATCATCTAAATATCAGGGAAACATAAACCATGAAAACATGCAAAGCTCAACAATTTTGGTTCAAAATACAAAATTTAGCCCACGTTCAATTGCCAAAACCAAACCCAGATTATTGCTAATAACCAAAACACAAGCACTAATCTAATTCAGCAACACTGCATCAATTCTTCATCTAAGCTTCCCCTTCTCAGAGCTCTTCCTAGCTGCCTCCTTAACCTTCTCAATGTAGCCTTCAATGGGAGGCGTCAGAGTTGCCATGAACCGATTTGCTGGGAACTTAGAAAGATCCGGCACCAAGGCTGCTGCTTTCAAATGCTCAGGCAATGCCTCAATCGCCTCCTTCTTCAACCTCAACAGCGTGGACTCCGCCGCCTGCCTTGCCCTGTGCCGCCTCATCAAAACCCTACTGTACTCCTTGGCAAGCCTCCGGCCATCTTCAATAGTGAGGTTATATTTCGGTAACTTCTCCGCATCAACCAAACCCAGCGATATCAAATCCAAGCCGGGCGTTCCAAGAATCGTTGGCTTTTCTGGGATGCCCAATTTCTCCTTGCCTATCTTCAGCATCTCAATCTCTCGCTGCCGCTCTTTGCTAATAAGCCCCAACTTAGCTCGCTGAATCTCGCGTTCTCTCTGTTCTGGCGTTAACCACCTAACAGGGGTAGGGGCATTCAAGCATTGATCGTAGAACTTTTCGACCCGATCTCTGTGAGATTGTCCTTTACCTCCTCCACCTCCACCTCCACCTTTAGAATCAGGTTCTGCAGTGCCTTTCTTTACAGTTATCTTTGACCGCTTCAATGGCAGTGCAGTTTTCGTCTTCGATTTACCCTTTGCGGTCCCACTCACAGAGCATCTCTGGAGGAAGTTGTAGCTTGAAGGAGACTCGATCAATGGTCTCAGGGGTTTATTCTTAAAGATGCGTATCATCTTCTGAATCGGAAATGAGCTGATTAGCTGTGTTAGGGTTTCGCAGAGAAGTGACCGCTGACCACAGAGGGGCTGAGGTCTGAGAAAGAAGATGAAGACGGAATGAGAAATGCTAAAAGAGTATTGTAATATGTGTGGGCTGGATTTGGGCTTGGCCTGCTTGGGTGCTCGACCTTCTCTAAGTGGGTCTCACATTTGAGCCCAAAAGTGGAGAAACACTTGTGTTAAACATGTATCTCAGGATTGAAGAAAAAAAAAAACATACATCTCAAGCCAATCACGGCATGCTACAAGCGATAATTTTTCTCCTTTCATAAAAGTTTTTCTGCACAAAATTATAACTTGGTAATTAGCAATTAACAATTAGCATAAGCATGCTTATTGAATTTAAAAACATTAAAATCTAATAATGAGGATATCAATAAGTGGTTTGGTTTATAATTTATGAGTGTTTGACTTTGGATTTCATCATCTTGTGAATGTTTTCTTCTGCTCGCAAGTTCGCAAGCCAACCTTAGACAAATATTATTATTTGTAGATGTGATGAAGGATCATGATCATGAGCATGAGTTGCATGTAACTAAACATCATTGTAATACGGATTATCGTTTTTAAAACTCAACGCCGCCTTTATTTTTGGTTATATAATTTTCAACCACCCACCCTGAAATGACGATGGCAATGAAGGCGAAATGTTGACTTTGTGGAAGCTCTATGGTTCTCATTTTCTCGTGTCACTCTTCTAGAATTAAATCTATTTTGAATTTTGCACACTTTGCAATGTTTTTGCTTTAATATAATAGTTAGCATTTGAATGGAGTTTATCAACAAACCATTCTCTGCTTCAATTGATTTTATTTATTTTTGTGGTTGTCAAATTTCTTCTTCTAGTAGCAAATGTAGCATATTGTTGACTTTGGCAATCTTGGTGGACCCAAAGAGATTGGATTGTACTAAATTTTATAACGTGAAGAGCAACAATGGGCAATGTCCACTCCACAATGACAATGTTCATTAGTTATGGAACCTTCTTTCAGTGGACAGAATCAGGCCAGCATCAGAAATTCAGAAGCTTCTCTCACATTTTAGACCTTATATTAAGCTCCTCCAAATAAGCGTGTTGATTTTCTAGTTATTATTTTTATCTTTGTTTGTGTACTAAGAAAAGAAATCTTCAGCATCTTTCATTTCACACTTTATATATAAACAGCCCAACACCATTAGAAACAGCAACCAACATAAAACCTCTCCATCTCTATCTCTCTCTGCAAAGACTCAAACAAAACAAATGGCTTTCTCTAGATCCATCGCCTTTTTTGCTGCCTTTCTGGTGGTGGTGCTACCCATGGCTGCTTTGGCCTTCGAGTGGGACAACATAGCTCCTTCTATTGCCGGTAGCTCTCTCTCTCTCTCTCTCTCTCTCTCTCTCTACTTATGTAAACATTATTGTCTGGTTTCTGTCTTCTTATACATGCTGTTGTTGTTGTTACAGCTGAGGTGTGCAAAGAAGTGGAGTGTGGAAGGGGAACCTGCAAATTTGATGTAGAGGATCCATTAGGCTTCACCTGCGAGTGTGATGCTGGTTGGAAGCGAACCCGTGAGGGAGACGATGACCTTAAGTTTCTCCCCTGTGTGATTCCCAACTGTAAGCTCTCTTTCTCTTCCTCTCAAATAAAAACTTCCCGAGCGGAGCTGGATCCCGTTTTGCAGGATGCATACAGAAGTTGGGAAAATTCAGTGACATACATTTCACCGTTTTCATTTTTCATGTTTTTGCAGGTACACTTGACTACAGCTGCCAGCCAGCTCCACCTCCAGTTCCTGCTAAAGAAATTCCACGCAACTTGTCGGCCTTTGACCGTAATTACCATCAAACCACCTCAATCACAATATCCATTGATTCTCATTATCACTTATGATTCTTTTACTAATATGTGTTTTTTTTCCTTTCTGTGGTTTAATATATATATAGCTTGCTACTGGGTTTACTGTGGAGAAGGTAACTGTGTAAGGAACGAAACATATGCACATACACCTATCTGTGAATGCAAATCAGGCTTCTACAATCTTCTTAATGTCTCAGCATTCCCTTGCTACAATGAATGTAAGAACACACCCACTTGTCCTCTCTCTGGTTGAAATAAATAACGGTAAATGATTTTCCCACTCCCCTTTTATCCACATACACTCCTTTTTGTTTAGAAAAATGGAGTGTAAGTGGATAAAAAGGGAGTGGGGAAATCAATAACACACAACAAGTTGTAGAAACTAATTGGAGCAATGATTTTTTTTTTTTTTTTTCATCTTTCAGGCACACTTCAACCCGACTGTAAAAGCCTTGGAATTACGGTTGCTAAATCAACTTCTACAGACAGTAATCAAGGTGAGATTGCTGTCCAGAAAACACCAATATCTATCTGCTCTTTATTTCTTATTATTACTTAGATAATCACAGTTTAAATTCAATCTGAACGAATGGCACTCCTATATACTAATTAATTAAGAGAAGAGAAGGTACCGGACCTGGATACAACTATCATCAGGGTAGGGTGATGCCTGTTCAAGAACAATTAAAATAAAGAAATAAAAGTTTCATAGTGTCTTCTTGTATTGGTTTATAATAATCTTATTTCAATATCTAAATGGTTTAGGTAGGTTAAAACCATGAAAAAAATATTAATCTTTGAATTAGCATACTTTGCTAACTTTTTTGGTTTTAAGGATTAAGACTTAGTCAAGGCACTAGAGGTTTCAAAAGTTCACATCTCTACGTAATTGACTCTAAAAAGGCACCATATGATTTTAGCTCTCATTCATTGTCTGAATATAGGTTGATGACATAGACTAAAAAGAGCAAAACTTATCTCCCGTTTGGCTAAATTCAAGGCACTTGAATTTTACATTTGCTGATGTCTGAAAGAAAAATGTCATGCGACTAAGACAACATCCCAATATTTTAAAGAAGCAAGGGCTATTCAACCATGGCATGCACACTATATATATATACTAATGGTTTTCTCTTTTCCTCTTGTTTTCCAGCTACCTCGTTTTTGCCAGGAAAGTTGCAGTTGATGACTATGGCTATGGTCTACGTGGGTATGATTCTGTGGAAGTAGGGTGGAAAGTGCTGTCACGAGATTGAGCCTTCTATTTGTTTGTTCTATAGCTTCATCATACATGAATTTGATATACTTCAGGTTAATTTCGAGTTGGTGTAACATTCCTTGATTTTTCCGTATTTCATCATTCTGTATAAAGTCAGTTTGTATAAATAACTCGAAACACAGTCATACAGCGATCACTGTAATATATGATATATTTCACATTATAATATATAGAAAGATTGTTACAAGTACTTGAATTCCATGGATCATCTATCACTAACAGAGCAGGCTTTATTTTTCTCTGTTGCGCACTTTGAATTCAAGGAAAGTAAGTTAAACGAAATAACAACATTCAGATAACTTCAAGGGAAAGAGTTGCCACTAATCAAACTTCCTCAGATTTTCTACAAGTATCTTATGGCTTTCTAAGATATACATACTCACCTACACTGAAATGGTGGTTCCTACAGAAACTAGGTAGAAACAAATTTTTCGACGAGGATTAACAACTCAGAGTTATAAGCAAATCAGTGTTTTATTGAAAAAAAAACTTCCATTACAATTTGATCGAACTCACCCTTGCAAAACAACTAAAACTGATGCCATCAACATAAAAGGAAAAGACAACTAAAAACATGATCAAGTTAAAAATTCCACGCTCAGGGTTGCAACCAAAATCATATTACAGCTACTGTACGATTTAGGCTTGAAGCGCATAACAAAAACATGACTTGGAATCTGTTCATTTGTAACACTAACAGTTTTTACATTTTCTTCTGATTGGATGATGTTCACTCCCTTCTGACTATACTTTTTCAACAAGAAAAAAGGAAAAAGGAAAAAGGTAAAAGGAACCTTACTTTTATCATATAATTCAATGATTTTGATAGTTGACAATCATGAATCCGAAAACCTATCTAGGCTATAGATCCAACAGTAAGGCACACCACGTGCTCTGAACTCTCACAAGACAGCAGTTTACTCACCATATAATCTAGAACTAGAAGTTTACTAATTGATGATCCTAGATTGAGATGATAACGTATCTATACGTCCTACCTGGAGCATTTTCCTCCAGATATTTGCTAACCTTAACATTCCCTTGCAAATAGACGGCCACATGCATCACATAGCATACAACAGAACCCTCAACTACTAATGCATAAGTTGTTCAATGATCAATACTTCAGTTCACTCTCCTCACAAATGACCAGAAACAAGACTCCAACAATCCAATCAGGCAATTTTATTTCAAAAAAGGTCAGCAAAGGCAATAATCAGGTCTAACAGTATGATGAAAAATCGAAGAAGCTTAAAGGCAATTCATTCCCAATTATTTCCATCTTTAATATTATTCCTATGCTACTGATCCAAAACAAGACGCTCAACAAACAACAAGCGCATCAAATACAAAACTTTTAACAATTACCCATATCACCAATCTAGGAGTTATACCAAAGAAGCTAGATTTCACCAATAAATATTGAACAACAAGCAGCAAATAAAGGAACCTCCGTGAATATGAAAAAGCAGAGTACATATGGAGATTCCAATACTCACCATCACCAGAAAAAAAGTGAAAAAGAGAATCACTTGTTCTTAACATCCACTCCATCCTTGCCTGCAATGATGACCGCGGTCGCCATATCCAAGAACAACCCATGTTCCACAACCCCTTCAAATTTCGAAATCTCCTTCCCGGCAGCCGGCCCATCTTTAATGGGACTCTTGAAATACAAATCCACAATGTAATTGAAGTTATCAGTGATATAAGGCTTTCCATCACCATCCAACCTCAACTTTGCTTCAACCCCTTCTTCGTTAAACAACTCCTGAAGCCTCACCAAGTTATATTTCCAGCAAAACTGTACAACCTCCACAGGCATTGCCAGTCCACTTCCTCCAAGACCAGTCACCAACTTGGTCTCATCAGCCACCACAACAAACTTATCTGAAGCGGCCTCCACCATTTTCTCTCTGAGCAAAGCCCCACCACGCCCTTTAACCAAGTCAAGATTTGGGTCGACCTCATCTGCACCATCTATGGCCAAATCGATCTTGGGGTGATCATCGAGAACCGAAAGAGGGATACCCAATTGGCGAGCTTGATCCTCCGTACGTTTTGAAGTTGGAACTCCAACTATGTTCTGCAATTCACCAGATTTCAAGAGCTCTCCGAGCTTTGAGACCACAAAGGCGGCTGTTGAGCCAGTGCCGAGGCCGAGGACCATGCCGCTCTTGACATACTCGACGGCCTTATCGGCTGCAAGCTTCTTGAGTTCGTCTTGAGTGAGGGCAGGGACTGTGCGAGCTTTGATGGACATGGGCCTGTAAGAAGAAGAGCGCAGGTTAGGGGTTTTGGGGGTGCGCAGGAGAAGGTGGGTGGTGGATGCATTGTGGGGTGAGAGGAGGGATAAGGACGAAGCCATTTTCGCTTCTGGGTGGGTGGAGAGTGGCGATAGAAGAAGAAAGAATGAGAATTGAAGATGAATAAGAGGTGGATTTTGGTCCCTCTGTTTTTGTATCTTTCTCTGCTTTCTATCTTGTTGGTTTGGTTTGGAGTTTCTGTGAGCTCTGTTTTTTTGTTTGTGCAAAGGTTTGTGATTTGGATGCAAAATATGACCTTTTTTGGGTTGGGTTGGGTGGTTGGTAGCTTTGCTATTTGGTTGGTTGAACTTGAGATAGGAAGTTTTTTGTGAGGATTACAATTTCTTTTTCTTATTTCTCAGGGTTAAAAATACTAAGAAATAATATTAGATGATTGGATCATAAGGTAATTAGTTCATCACATAAAGAATATTGTTTATATTTCCTAAAAAATAATTATCTCATCTATATCTTTACAATGAAAATAAATTCAATGGATTTGGGAGATGTGGTAAACACAGATCAATGATAAAATATTGCAGCTGCAGCAGCAAAATGGGAAAAGAGTTTAAATATTAACAATAATTTGCAACTGGTGCCTATTGGGAAGAGCAAAAACATAGCAACCCAACTCCATAGAAAAACTCCAGAGAGAGAGATTGAAATAAGGAGAGGTAGGTAGGTAGGTAGGTAGTTCTCTGCCAAAAATAATGAAGGATTTATATCTATAATCTGTCATTTGATCTACCAAGTTTACCAAAAACATGTGTTTGAGACTCAAAGAGAAACACACATGTTTGAATACATGTGATTGTGTATATTATATTCATCTTGTTGCAGTGATTGTTACCATCTGTGATCCAAACCTGCAAACAAACAATTGTCATTGAGTGCTGCTACTGACCAGCAGCTTTCAGAATGGTTCATTTCATAAGATTTAACCTGCATATATATATGCACTGCATCGAGTGCTGCAGTACTTAAGATGAAAATTACTTTTTTAAAATAATATTAAAAAAGGGGAATAAATTGTTATTAATTTGTCGGGACTAATAAAAATAAAAAAATTCCTACAAAAAGAAAGAAAAAAAGGGAAAACCTCGTCGAAATACGACGGCGTTTTCACTCGTCCCCATATTCCTTTCTCCCTTCGGATTCTTCAATTGGACCAATAAACTCTAACAGTCTCTCTCTCTTTTGTTTCCTTCCTCCAAACTCCAAGCCCCCTCTCTCTCAAATCCTCAATTTCATCAACCATGTCTGCAGAATCAGCCAGTGCAATTCAAAGAAACCAAGTAAGTATACCCAGTTCCAATTTTCTTTTTCCTTTTTTGGTTCAGTCACTAAGATAACTTCCGAAAATTGGTGGGAAAAAGATTTGAATCTGGCATCTGGGTTTCTTCCAAGGGTGAAAAACTGGTGTTTGTATCACCAAATTTATTTTCCAGGCCGAAAGAAAAAAGATTTTTATTGTCGTCCTTACAAATTCTGGCCTTGCGGTATGACAGTGCATTCGAAGCTTCTTATTTTCTGATATTGAATTCTTTTGGTCAGGTTGATCTGTTGGACTTCATAGATTGGTCTGGAGTTGAATGCCTCAACCAAAGCACTAGTCACTCTGTTGCCAACGCTCTCAAGCAGGTAACTTTTATCGACTTCTGGTTTTTTTTTAATATATTTAAAAATATGTATAAAGTATAAATTGCTGTTCTTGGTTTGATTAACATTCTTAGTTTAAAAAAAAATGTTAATAAAGTTACCCTCTTTACTGTGAGAACGCAGAACTTAAGTAATTTTTTCTATAGCCATTGATACTTAGAGAGTCAGTTAGCGATGTTTTGTTGTAGTTTGTTATTCCTGCCATCTGCTTGCCTGCTAATAGAATTTAAGAAAAAAATTCAAAACCATTTGATTTGTGAAATACGGAGCTTGCGCCTAAGCCATATAGTTGTCTCTTGCATGTTAATTTGAGCAAGATTTTGTTTAACTAACATATTGGAGTTATGACTAATGTGTGAAAATTTGATGTCACATTTGTATGATGTCTGCTCAGTGCTTAAACATGTTTTGGAGGTAATGCAGTTATATTTACTTGCTTTTGTTCATTCATAATTAGGGTTATAGAGAAGATGATGGTTTGAATCTGGAGAGTGATGCAGATGAGCAGCTTTTGCTTTACATACCTTTTCTTCAAGTCATTAAGCTGCATTCTATTGTCATCAAAGGACCTGAAGAGGAAGGTAGCAATGAATTTTTCTGAATAGATACAGTTCAACCGCATGTGACTATGCATGCTAATATTAAGCTTGTTGGTTCTGTACTTGAATTCATATTATTACACACTGACATGCTTTGATCAGAATGCCTAGGCAACTCTTGATGGAATTCTTTTTAAGGTGTTATTTGTGTTCACTATTGATGTTACTTTTCTTTCATTCTTTTGGCACTTCCTTTTAATCTTATTATAAAATCTTATAACAGTGGAAGCCATCCCAACATATCTTACTTAGGGTTCACAGTAACATGTATTTGAATTCTTGTCTTCATTTAGCTTCGATCCACTCTTTTAAGGTTTATAGTAGATCAAATAGAGGTTGCAAAAGGATCACATTTGTTGGCATGCAGAGTAAGAAAAACTCTGGAGCAATAAATCTAAGGATCATGGAACTATGAATATAAATACAGATAAGTTTTTGTAACCATGGGGATTTAAGAAGACTATCAATCTCAAACCAAAATGCACATATCAGAAGAAAACATTTCATGTTTCTTTCTAGCCCTACTGATCCAAGGCCTTGTCTTCATAGTATGTAAGGTTTTTAAATTTGTTTTCATTTACTGAAAAATTAATTCTGATTAGGTGATTGTATTTCAAAACATCAGCCTAAAGAGCCAATACTACTAGAGTGAACATGAAAGTGGATGATATCATAATGGTTATATCATGATGTTTTCTTCTTTATCAGAGAATCATTCAACAAATATGAGTTTTACAGGATTGTAAATATGAGTTTTCTTCTTTCCCTGAGAAATATAATTTTTCTGCTGTTTTGGCTTTGATACCACTGTCTGTCATCTTTGGCTTTTCCTTACCTTTTTCTTCCAGCCTCTTTGTTAACTAAAATTTTGTTGTGCATTTTACCCTGCAAACCTTCTACTGCAAATATCCCTGAAATTGATGTTTGATACTGTTCTAACCTTGAGATTCTTGAGATTGATTTCTAGGTCCTAAGACGGTGAAACTTTTTTCAAATAAGGAGCATATGGGGTTTAGGTATTATTCTTGGGACAATCACAGTTATTGATCATGGATAAAATAAATAAATAATTGATTAACTCATGGATGCATTTCTTGCTGATAATGGCAGCAATGTCAATGACTTCCCAGCAAGTGATACACTTGATTTATCCCCTGAGAATCTAAAGGTTGGGATTCTGTTACGACAACCTCTGCTATTTTGCTTGTTGAAGACAATTCAGTAATACACATTTGGAAGGTTTTTGCATTATACTTGATGTCTTTTTACACGTTACAGGGCAAACCAGTTGTCTTAAAGTATGTCAAATTTCAAAATGTTCGCAGGTATCTTAAACCTACTTTTGTTGATATACTACTATATTTCTCTGTATGTATGTAATAGAAAGTCTCACATTATATTTGTATCAGCTTGACGATCTTTATTGAGGATAATCAATCTGGCGCCGAACTCACAAAAGTTCAAAAGATTGTTCTGTGTGGAACAACGTAAGTTTCAATTGTTCCTCATTTTTCATTTCTTTTTTCTCGTAAATCTGCTGGTATCTCACATAATTTATCACATGGTCTACATTCTTGGACAATGCATTCGCTGTTTTATACATCTGATATGTGCTGTATTTTCCACTGCGATAACAGTAAAATAATCCTGTATCCACAGAATATAACATGCCATATGTATCTAATGATGTTTTCCTGTTATGTAGGGTGGAAACTACAGACATGAAGGGCTTGAAGAAGATTGAGGACGGACACTGAAGAGTCAGAGAAGTAGATGAATGAAAAAATTGAATCATCTAATACCATTGTGATCATTTGGCAAATCTATCGGTGCACATGGTTATGTGGCATATTCGGATTATAATCAAGTTTCATTGAGAAATTTTCACCCTTTATGGGATTCTAAGATTATATGAACATTTAATTGACTAAAAAAAGGGCTGAAACATTCAATGCATGTCCAGATCCATGTTTGGCTTTCTCTGGATGAAACATTCTCAGTGCTTGGCATTCAAACGTTTGCAATTTTCAGAAGCTATTGCTTATATCCTCCCATTGGGGTCCCAAGTGGGTTTCTCTTATGTTGATTAGGATTGGACTCTTACACTTTGTATTTCTGAGAAATCTCTTATTCCCTGTGATTCTAGTTGCTGTGGAAAAGTAATTAACAATAAACCAATTGAAAACATAAAGAGTATGTATATCATAGGTCGGTATTGAAGGGCAACAATCTGAGATACTAGACTGGCAAATGATTCAGAAAGCTCATTAATGTAAAGAGTATACAACTTCATTTGACTTCGAAGAAATGGCAGCGCTACAAAAATAGTTGTTTTTTTTTTTATATATTCCCATTTGAACTAATGAAACATCTTTGTGAAGGGTAACATAGAAATTAAACAACCCTGAACAGAGTGGGCACGAAGAAAGCTTCATTATTTCAACAACAAGAAGCAACACACTCGAACCAAGTTGATGATATACATTATCATACACCCTTTCGCGGACAAAATCAATCCGTAAGAACTAACTGCTTCTAGAATAGAGGTCAATGCTACCTAATTGCAGCCGCGAGGTTGATTGAACATCTCGAACTGTCAAAAATCTGAACCTGCCATGTAACTCTAATTTAATGGAGAGCCGGAAAACATTGATACATGTTTGAACGCATTTGAGTGTTCGTATATTTACCTGAAAACATTTGATAGGAAACCCTGACATGAGATCTTAAATGTTTTACGCTGGAAACGACTGTCAAATATTTGAGTAGTTTGTTTATCCAATAGATGCCAGCTTGATTCCCCATCATTGCTTCCTTCAACTACCCTGTAAATTAAATTTATAAATGCTCAACAAGATCAATGCTTCACAGGATTTCTAAATACAAGTATATAAGTACTTCACAATACGTATGCATGCAGGGAAAAAATTCAATAACTACATTCAGGACACTTCCATTATTGTCAATTCAGAGGATGCCTGTATGAAAAGGAGCCAAAGTCCTTGCTGCATAAGGCCATAAACACATGCCACATGCC